CTTATATATTTATCGTTATGTATTAGGTATCTGTATGTCTTATTCCCTCACCTGCCTGCTCCAGAAGAGCAGGAACGTTGTCTTACATAAACTTTGTATCTTTCTCAGTGCCCAGCGCAGTTAATACATGTAACACATACTTTAAAAAGTCTCAAATGAAAAGATGTTCACCAGCACATTTACTTGCTAACAATCCTATCTTTGTGTATTATCCTGATAGGAAATTATGTTGGGATTTGGATGAAAGATTTTCCCACATTATGCTCACTCAATGCATTTTCTTCTAGCACTACAAAACCTCCACTGTCTACAGCAGTAAACGTCCAAATTGGAGAATGTTTTTAAAGAAATGCAAATTTATTACTTTCAAGTACTATACAGAATATAAACTAAGGATATGGGCACTCATAAGTAATGTGAGGTAAGTTAATGAAAAAAATTACAATTCACACCAAGCTTGCTGTATCAAACAGAAGTCTTTTGACATAGAAGACTTAATTACCGGACCCAGAAGTTGAAGGCAAATTAAAAGAATCTTTAATATTACGAACTCTTGGTTTTAAAAAGTTACCAATTTTAGAGCGGGTTCTTTTCTGGGATTGTTTTTTGATTAGTTCTTGTTGCATCTCTTTCAGGGTGAAATAGAATCTTTGAAACTCTGGAGTGGCATCAACAAAGTCAAGGAGACAGTCCAAATTCTCTCGAATACTAGATAATTTAAACTTTGCTGAATGTTGTCCTACCTCCTCTTCAACAACCCCTTCTTCCTGGGTAACTTCCCTAGTAACATCTTCCATTTTGGGGGGGCAACAAGCTTCATTATCTCCAGTTAACCATACCCTGACATCACCTAAATTGGGCTCTAGGTCACCACATTGCTCAAGAATTTCTCTATAATCACCATCTTCTAAGCCTTGAATATTATATTCTGGTTCTTTTTTGTAAAGTAGATTTTCCCATGCACTTGCTATTGTTATTTGCTTTACTTCATCCCAACTCTTTGCCCAGTTAGAAATTGCACTTTTTATGTTATAAGCTTTGATTTTTGCAACTGTTTTCTCTCCTCTTGTTTCCTGTTCTTCATCACTCTCTTCAAAGATTACCAGACTCTCTTCAAGCTGCTTCCATCTATAAAGTCGTTTGCAGCTCAAGATCACACCCTGATTCATTGGCTGAATCAATGATGTAGTATCTGGGGGGAAGAAGATACATTTGATTCTCCCATCATTACTAATTAGAGACTCAGTTGAAGGATGGGCTGCAGAATTGTCTAGGAGTAACACTGCTTTTATATCTTTTTCATCCAACCTCAGGACATTAAGCTGAAAATCTCTAACTTCTGGAATGAAGTTCTGAAAGAACCATTCCGAAAATGATTCTCTGGTGAACCAGACATCTTGACTGGATTTGTATATCACTGATAAAGCATTTGCATCATCCTTAATAGACCTAGGCTGCTTTGATTTTCCAATAATAACTGACTTCAACTTGTGGGTCCCATCTGCGTTTGCACACAAAAGAGCTGACAATTGTTCTTTGTTTATTTTCCGCCCTGGCATACATATATCTTTTTTGTTTGCCTGAGTATTTTCTGGCATTGATTTCCAAAAAAGATCTGTCTCATCCCCATTGTATACCTGAGCCAGACACAGTCTCTCCTCTTTGATGATCATGGATATCTTTTGTCTAAATGGTTCAACATTTTCTGAAACTGAACTCAGAATTTGTTCCCCACACACTTTTCGGTTCCCTATTGCATGCCTATTTCGAAATCTGAAAAGCCAACCAGTGCTGGCTTTGAAGTCTGTTCGACCAAAACACTGTGCAAATCTCTCAGCGGCAGCCTGAAGTTCCACACCTCTAACAGGAACGCCAGCTGAGCGCTTTTGTTGGTACCACATGTACACTGCATCATCAACATCACCGTATTTCGCACCCGTTGTTCTTTTTCTTTTCTCTGCTCCAACTAATGGCATATCTTGCTTTAACACAAAGTCCAAAATCAATTTCTTATTTTTTTTAATGTCATAAAATGTTGATTTACTGATTCCAAATTCATCCATCACGCTTTTAAGAGAGTGCCCAGATTCAATTCTACTCAAGACCTTCATTTTTTCCTCTAAATTCAATGTTGTATATTTTCCTCTCTTATTCATAGTGAATGTTATTTCAATATACAGAAAAAGAGAAGTTGGGAAACAGCAATATTGGATGACAATAAGCAAAAAGTTGAAAAAACACAGAGGGCACAGATATTGGCACTAAAATTCTGATAGAATGGCAACTGCAGGTGGTATAGATAACGAACATCTGAGGTTCCCCTTAAAACTGCCACTACTGGGGATCCTCCTCCTCCTCCTATTATTATAACACCAGAATAGTGAACTTTCAGGAATGTTTCGGTATCTTCTACTTCTTGTCCTTCTCAAGTATAGACAATCAGGAAGCAGAGAAGCCCAAAATGCACGCTGGAACCCTCCTTATAACCTCACGTGAAAGAAGTTGTATAGGACAACAGAGAACATAGAAGAGGAAGGAGGTACAAGCAAAGAAAAATCAAAGGATGCCTAGAGTCTCTAAAAGGTAGTTGAAAGGAGGATAAGAGAGGGAACCAGTTGGTACACTGAGATCAAATCTTTCTTTCCCAATGCTATGGCTTCACCTCACTGCTAAAAAAAAAATTGTACAATTCAGTAAATACAGCTAATGAAGCAACAGGCTAGGAACCTGGGACAGGTCTTCAGTCTTCTAGGACCTGCCATATGCACTATTTTGATGTTCTGAGAACTTGAAATGGAGAACATTTTGCTGAATAGTAAGGTCAATAAAGCAGCCTGTTATCAAAATAAATACAATTTTACCATATCCAATAACATGTCTTGACAAATCTCTTATGTTTATTACATTAGTTGATTAGTAATTTCATGGTTGATAATGACATTTCTGCTCTGAGTGAAGCTTTTCCCACACTCAGGTCTAGGATTTAGAGGTTGGAAAGATTCTAGAGATCACCTAGTCCCACCTCCCATTTTACAAAAGAGAAAAATGAGTCCCAGAGATATTTACTTGCCTAATGTCACATTAACTAGTAATGGTGAGAACCACCTGACCCCAAGTACAATGCTCTTTCCATTATGCCATGGTCTTTGGCTCTTTTTTCTTATCCTGGTATGGGGTCTGTAATGAATTACTCTTAATTATAGCTTTCAGTGAGGATCTTCCCCACACTTTGGATGCTTATAATGCTTCAGAAGTATGGTAGTATTGGGATGCCCAAGTCTAAAAGCTTTATAAAGGTTTTCCCAAACTTAGAACATTTATAATACTTCTTTTCTGACTCAATTTCCTTGAGTTGAATCAATGCAGAGTTCTAAGAAAAATTCTTCTCATATTTGGAATACTTATAATTTCTCTTCAGTGTAGACTCTGGTGAATTAGAGAGTTATGATCATAAACTTTTTTAGCAGATGGAAGGCACTTTTAAGGGTTTAACTTGGAATTTTTGGTCTATTCTGTAAATCCTTCTCTTGGGGAGTGAGTTCATGCAGTCTCTTAACTAGGGGATTTTTCCACAACTCTTTCATTCTCACTGTCTTTCCATCATTTTAGCACAATCTCTTCAGGTCTTTCTGGTAACACTCTCTGTGATTTCAATTTCTCAGAAATCTTCTGCTTGTTCTCACTCCTGATCCACAAATATATAAGAGGGTATAGGAATTTTAGCTGTCTTCCATTCCATGTACTGGGAAGAAAGAAAAGTTCGTCAGGGAATGACTGAAAGATTGACATTTCAGTTATTTTATTTCCCTTAAGGATAGTAACTAACTGAACTGAATGTACTTTCTAGCTGTGTAGATTTCTCTCAAGTCTTTTATGTGGAAGCTCTCTATACTAAGGATCTATGATTTATCCCTCACTTTAGCTGTAAGAGCTTGACTACCTTGGATTCTGATTAAAGGAGAAGATCACACGAGACATGACAATCTACAATAAAAGTTTAACTCATTGACCAACATACAGTAGTTTTTGCAAAGTCAATCATATAGATTTGACAGTCAAGCATCATTTAGAATTGAATAGAAAGAGGTAAAAACAATTCTACTCCTCAGATAAGGACTGTACCATTCACTCTAGTTAGCAAACTACCATATGCATGCCATACCTTATAAGACAGAAAGGTAAAAGCAAATCAGTGTAACTACACACTGAATGCACATCTTGATCCCATCACAGCAATTAAAAAATTCATAGGATATTAGAGCTGTAAGGGATCTTATGAGATATTCTCCTACAGCATTGCTTAATCTGAGGTCTTCAAACTTGCTTACTATTTTGATAATTGTGTTTCAATATAATTGGCTTCCCTTGTTATCCCATGTATTTTACTTATTTAAAAGCAATATTCGGAGTAGTCCACAGGCTTCAGCAGATTGCCAAAGGGATCCATGACACAAGCCAATTCTCTCATTTTACAGAGAACTGAGACCTAAAGACATGGCATGAACTACAGTTACCCCCAAACAAATTTCCAATAGGAGAAATTTCAATGAGAAACTTTGGAAGTTGGGAGCACAAGTAGGCAACAGTAATAACGAACTCTGAGAAAGTGATAGTGGTATATTTATCTCTCTTCGGAAGTCTTTCCCCCTTCTCTCCATCTCCCTTATCTAAACCTTGTTTGCCAAGAGATACCCTCAATCATTAAAGGGCCTCCCCCAACATCCTTAATTCAACATTTACTACCATACACTGTTTAATTTTCCTTGTGCTAATGAAGTCAGAGCTTTGCAGGGTGTTGACTCTTAGTTCAGGGGGGTGCAGTAATGCTCCCTTTGAAGGCCTCTTAGTCCCAAACCACCTCCAGTCTTCCAGGGCAGGCTTCACCTATGGGCTTACGTCACCGCTTGACTGTGTTCTCAAGCCCCGAGCAAACTCCCAGAGCACCAATTGCCCCTGCAGCGTTTCTCGGTAGCCTTACGTCAATCTCATTTCTCAAACAGATGCCGGCCGAGAAGCAGGGAGGTGGGGCGGAACAAGCAATCCCCGGGAGTCACGGCTCTACCCTTCACTCGCTCTGCTGTTTGGACGTTCCTCAACCTCCCCGGACCCGCGTTCTCCTCCGTAAAAGAAACACTCTGCACCACCTAAGTCAGGGAATTTACGTGGAGATCGAGCGAAGTGAAAAGCAGCGGGTTTTCGCCGTATGGCATGATGGAAACGAGAGGTTTCTCTGGTTAAACCAAAGGCGGGCCCGGCTGACCCTGGGGCGTCGGAGTCTCACTAAACGCTGACAAGCCTGGGCCCCAAGGAGAACAAGGCCGTGGAGGGGAACGAGAGGATTAGGGTGTGTAGGCCTTGAGGACGAGACGGGCCCTTACCAGGAGAGTCTCCGCGCCCGCCACAGAAATCCTTCCGACCGGCTTCCAGGCCCCCTCAACCTGCCTCCCAAAGGAGAGGAATCGAGAAAGCCGACGGCAGAGCGCCGTAAAAATGGGACACAGAAACCCGTAGAACCCGGAAGCAGTCCCAGCACCACATGACGAGACGTTTCCGGGACCCCACTAGGATCCGGGCGGGACCCGGTAATCAGTGGCATTTACACCTTCCCCCACCCTGCGACATCTGAATCTTAACACACGGGAGGCCCCACACTCAGGTACTGAAAGGTATTAGGGAACCGGCAGGGTTAAGCGATCGGCCGAGCGTCACTTCCGGGTCCGGTCAGGGCCTAGTCAACAGGACGCTGTCCTAGGAAGGGGTAAGAGACCGCGGCAAGGAGACCCGCGGGAGTGGCGCCGGACAGGGTGGGCGGGAGTAATGCACTGGGGGAGTCAGCAGCCCCTCCTTACAGCCCCGGCGCCGGGCGGGGCTTGGGGTTTCCAGGTAGGACCGGGTTCGCCGCGGACTTTCTCTTTCGCCTCTGGTTGCCTTCGGCCCTGGTTTCATACGACCCTCCCCCGAAGGGACGTGACGCAAACTGACGTGACATCACCTACGGTGACGTCGCGCGGGGTCCAGGGGGCTGGGAATGGAGGGAGGGGATCTAGGCTGCTGCGCCGCGGATTCTCCGCAGGGCCCGGGCGTAGTTAACGCGCGGCCCTGTTTAAGCAGTCACAGGACTGAGAACTGGAAGGGACCTAAGAAATCATCTGGTCCAGTCTGCCCAGAAAAGGGATTTATCTGCCTGCAGCCCCACGGGGGACGGGAATAGCTCACTGGGAATAATAGCAGCCCACTTTTCCCTAGCGTTTTGTGGTTACAAGTGTCTACTTTATGGATGACGAAACAGGCTTAGGGCCTTGGCCGTATTATGTATCTATATACACGTGTGTATATAATACCCACCCACATACACCTTATTAGATCCCTCATGTTCCTATAGCACTGTGCCTACCAAGTGTGTAATTGATCTTTAATAAACAAATAAATGAATTCAATAAACCTGCAATGTGGCAAAGTAAAGTATCCTGCAGTGAGTGGTAAAAGTGTTTCCTGTGCCACACAGGATGACCTGGAGGCCCACATTCTCATTCCCATTCCTGACAGTCACGGGTGCCAACACAGATAGACACAGCAACGTCATTAGCTTTTGGGGTAGCATCAAATACTTCTGGCCACAGGTGTCTTCTCTACCGGTTCTGGGAACTACAGGCATGTCGTGTGCCTTGGTCCTTAGATAAACTTTTGGTGACAAGTAGCCCATGGACCCTGAAAGGTGGTATCTCCTTGTATGCAGGCTGAGCTGTGACTAAAGGTGTGCACATGCAGCCAATCTGACAGTTTTGTTGTCACAGATATCAGCTCTCTGAGAGCTTAGGAGAGCTGGGCCATATCTGGGACAGGCTGTGGCATTCTTTCCCGGCACTAGACCAAGCCAGAATGACTCGAGGAAGAGTAAAGGGGCAGGGTTACAGAGGAATAAGTCTGCTTTGGAGGCTTCTGTTTTCTTTCCCAGTTCTTCATGTTCTATTTTTGGCTTTATTTTTTCACATGAGATATCCTCAATGTAATGAAAATATTAATAGTAATTTATATTTATATAATACTTTACAGTTTATGTAACTTTCTTCACAACAATTCTATGAAATGGTAAGTGTAACTATCACTACTCCCAATTTTACAGATAAAGGACCAGAGGCCCAGAAAGATTATAGTCTTATAGCTATTAAGTCTTGAACGTGGGACTCAAACCCAAGTTTTCTGATTTTAAATCCACAGTTCATTGCTGTAGCGGATGGCCTCTCCAGATAACAAGGAATAAGCTGGATCTCATCTTTACAACAGTGAGAAGGTCAAGGTGAGAGGATCGAGGTTCTCCCCTGGGATTATTATTTATGAATAATGTTTTGTGAAAACTTAGTATTTATAAGCACCAAGGTTTGATTTTTCTACCATCTTTGTGGGGTCAATGTTAGTAGGCAAACAAATAAATAAAATCTTTGGCTAATCCCAAAGCTTTTTAATGCAGTATGCTAGTGAATACCGTAAGTTAAATGATCTTCTGACTTTCTAGATGTTGGAAGTTTAGGTGAATAGAAATGTAACTAGAAGGGAGATGTTTGGAAATCAGGCAGGTAAAAACAAACAAACAAAAAACAAGGTACAAACTTATCACCAGCTTTATAGACTGTCAGAACGGACTGTTTAGGGCTCCCAGGTGGCACCAAATGAATAATGCTTCTGAGTCTTCCTTGCTGACTCTCATATTTTTTAATCTGCCCCCAGGAAGAAGATTATCCTAGTTTTATGCCAGAAAAGAGACACCTAGCACTGGAAGTGTGAGCACCAGCAGGGCCACTGAAAGCAAGAGTAAAACTTTTTGAACAGGATGATGGCCATAGAGCTAATGGTGGCTGCAGATCTGAATCCCCAGATCCAAGCTTTATGGGAGAAAGAAGGGCCTCTAGAAAAAAACCTAAAAGAGAATTCAATCCAGAATCAGGAAAGTGTCCTACAGAATGATAAACCTGCTCCTGAGAGCTGCCGACAGCGCTTTAGGAGCTTCCAGTACCAGGAGTCAGCTGGTCCCCAGAGACCCTTAGCCAACTTAGGGAGCTTTGCCATCAGTGGTTGCAGCCAGAGATCCACACAAAGGAACAAATCTTAGAGCTGTTGCTGCTGGAGCAGTTCATGAATATTCTGCCTGAGGAGACAAAGACCAGGGTTCAAAAGCATTCCCCAAGGAGCATCAAGGAGGCAGTGACCCTGGTAGAAGATTTGCAGAGTACACTTATAAGACAGAGCAAAGGAGACAGAAAGAAGATTCCTGAATTGGACAATGAGGTATGAGAAAAGTGGACATGTGGAGGGCAAGATAGAAAATATTGCTCTTGTTCCTCCAGAACTTTCCAAATTCATACTTTTATGGGAAAAGACTTTCTCATTAGTGAGAGTCAGTGCTCAGGACATCTGTCCATACTACTGAAATCTCATAAGTTTCTTTCTCCCTTAGCAAAGAAAAGGGAACGTTTTCTATCTTCTTTCTGGGCTAGAACCATGGCCTTAACTTTATGATGGTCCTAATTTCAAATGTTTTATTTTTTGCAGTCTTTTTAATCACTTTTTTTTCCTATCAGAAATTCCAAGTTTTGGATTATTGGAGTCTTTAACCAAGATCAGCCCAATATGGGATCGGCAAGGTTACTGTAAGGTAGAACAGAAGGATATTTGTACAGGTTGTTGTCCAGTGACTTGGCTGTCCCAACCCTGGTCTTCCAAGTTAGGCCCTCTGATGCCTTAGGATTACTGATTTTCTGTTTCAAAAAGTAATATTTCATTTATTCAATTAATTTGTGTTTGTAGTATCATAAGATGATGAGACACTAGGATTGTTGATATGAGTTTGTATGGCCAGGTGGAATACAGTAAAAAAATTGGTAGTATGAACTGGTAATATGGATAATAGGGACATTGAGGGAATTTGGACAAGATAGAGGAGTTGATTGGGTCTGGGAAGATTAAGGAAAAGCTAATGGGACAATCTAAGTTGATCAAGAAGGCAAGACTTGAATTCAGGCCCAGTAGAGAAAATACAAATAACCAAGAAAGGAATGAAAATAAGAAAATAAGGGGGGAAGAAGCAATGCAAGCAAAAAAAAAAAAAGTAAAGGAAAAAGCAAACAACTCCAGAAAAGCATCAAAGAAAATGAGAAAAAAAAAAGGGAAATGGAAAGATAAGAAAGCAGGAAAAATCCAATGAAGGGAAAGAAAAAAATATATATACTAAGTTCAACTCTACTCCATACCTCCACATCTCATTTCCTGGGCACAGAAAAAGTTAGTTTTCTTCCTCTAGAAGTTTGCATAAAAAAATCAGCCATTGCCCTCAGGAGCATGATGGCAAACAGCAGAATCCCCCCCACCCCCCACTCCCCTCTGGGCCCCATTCTGGAGAACATCAGGCACAATTTTTGGGTCTTGTGTACTCAGGTCTAGATCTATGCTTTGCACCATGAATAGTTCAACAGGACCACATGGGAAAAGAACCAGTTCCTTCCTCCCTTCCAACACCGCCCCCCCCCCCCAAATGGAAACTTGGTGTGTAAGAAGGGAGCAGCAGCCAGAATGAAGGATCTGGTTTGATGAGAAAACCAAGAGGAAAAAAAGAATAGTAGGAAAACTGACTAGCACCTCAAAAGATCTGTGATTTCATCCCGTGTAGGTACTACTGTAACTTTCATCAACATGTCACAAACTCTATATCTCAGTAAAGGAACTATATGAGTTACTGTGTAAAAGAAATTATTACCTAGTGATAAATGTTACTAATATTTTCTGATGACAAGCTTCTCCAAACTTAACTAGGCTTCTCTTGAGACAATGGATTATATGCATATGACCAGGCCAATATCAAAGCTTTTCTATTTTGGTAGGACCTACCAGAAGTTGTACTCCACTGTTAAAAATCTTTTTGAGGGCCCAACATCATCTCTACATCATGATGAGGCAGTGTGCCTCCTAAGTTTTCACAGAATCTCTTTTTGAAGGACTGAACCCTAAATACCACTCTCTCCCCAAAATAAGTGTTGCTCTAGCCCAAGCCCTGTGATAATAGAGGATGGGGATTAATTTCCAGGTTACAGTCCATGAACAGGGACAGGAAGTACTCTCGGAGAAGGCAGCACCCGTGGAAGGAGCGTCGGAAGCACTAAGCTTCCATCTGGAGCCAGCCGAGCCCCAGCGTATGGGGGTGTTCCAAGAAGAGGAATTATGGAGTACCCACCCAAGACCACAGGAACCACTGAGCTGTGACCCTGAAAAAGAGCTCCAGCCTGTGCAGGAGAGGGGTGAGGAGCTTCATCAATAATTTCCTCCTCTTAGGGGTGGTGAGATTCAGTCAACAAGCATTTATTGAACACTTCCTTGGTGCTCAGAGCTGTACTAGACACTGGAGTGGATACAAAAGCAGAAAACACACACCTTACCCTCAAGGAGACTACAGTTCATCATCAGGGAAGAGGGATTCTGCAGTGAAGGATGTGCAGGTCTCACAGACACTCAGATTGGACAGTGGTTTGTTGGGAGTGAGGGTGGAGAAGCTAAGTGCTTGAGGACAGGGTAAGACATAGAAATGATCAATGTTGCAGATTCTGCTTTCAGAAAAGAGAAAAAGGGGGAGGAACTAGGGCAGGGAAGAAGAATACTGCATGGTCCTGGTAGGTAAGTCTTAGTTCTCTAGGGGAGCAGGACAGAGGTTCTCGGTCATAAGGCAGTGTATATTAGAACTGCCAGAAAAAGTGTAAAAGCCAAACTCCTAAATTTCATACTAAATACTGGAGTATCTAGCTTACTGGAATATTCTGTCTGTGAATTTCAATTCAAAACTCTTTTGATTGTAGTGGTCTTGAAAACAGCCACTTATTGAGGGAAAATGACATTGTATGCCAGAAGAAGGGTAAAGACTATTGGCTTCACTTAAAAAAAACTTTCTACTTTGTTATTCATTTTCCTTTTGGACTGATGGAATTATTTGTTCTCATTTGCAGTGCGAAGGTCACCTCTTTCCATGCCCCACTGAAGTAATCAAGGGATCTCTTATATTTCAGAAATAAACCTAAGGTGTCCCGTAACACAAAAGGTAGAAACACATTACTCTGTGGCTTCTTTCTCCCTCTTCAGCTCTGCCTGCTCACCAGGTTCCTGTCTTTCCCGAAGACAGACCTACCAGAGATTGGGAGGTGGCATCTGTATTCTTCACACCCGAGTCTCAGGTGAGCTGCAGTTCTCAAGGTCCCTTCTGAAATCACATTTTTCCTAACTGAATATGACCTTGTCAGCTTCTTTCTTTGCTTCCTATGAACCTTTTTGTTCAATAGTTCCTCCAGGAAATTTCATCTGCTATCTTCTGGGCAACTGGGCTTATTGTGCAGAGGAGCTGGAAAACTTACGGGTTGCTTATTTATTCCTTGGGCTGCCCTCTCCCTGCCATTTACCCAGAGGTTACATATGAGGCACCAGCATCATTATCATCCAGAATTCCTTTTACACATTTAATTGGGTCTTGGGTCTTACTCATTAGCCAGGGACTAAATGGTCAGGTTGGTGGCAGACTGTGAGCAGGGGCGTGTTCTCATTTCAGAGTCCTGTGACCTTTGAGGATGTGGCCATGTATTTCTCTCAGGAAGAATGGCAGTTATTGCGCCCTATTCAGAAGGATCTCTATAAGGATGTCATGCAAGAGACTTACAGCAATATGATTTCAGTAGGTAAGAACACCATCTTAAAGTGAGGTGGGGGAGGTTCTTTGATATGCTTACCTTTTAAAAAACATATTTTATTTGTTTTAATCAACAAAAATCCACCTTTTCTCCCTTCCACCCCCCACTGAGAACACAAGAAAAACAAAACTCATTACAAACATGTATAGTCAGTTAAATCAAATTTCCACATTGGCCATGTCCTAAAAAATATCTGTCTCATTCTGCCTTCTGAATCCTTCACTTTTCTTATTATTAGGAGATGGGTTAGGATGTTTCATCATTAGTCCTCTGAGATCCTGGTTTGTCATTATACTGATAAGAGTTTGGCACAATACTTTCCATCACATTCATATACCAGTTTATGTGTACCCTCTCAAATTCCTATTCTTTGCTACCTCAAAAAGAGTTATAAATATTTTTGTACATCCTTAGAATTTGTTTTGGTTAGAACTAAGCCCTCCCTTAATTTGCCCTCCCTCTAATTTTTCCTCATCCCTTCTCCTCTTTCCCTCCTATTTCCCTGTTGAGTGAAATGTATTTTTGTACCCAACTTTGTGTGTGTATTCTTCCTTCCTTTAACAGTTCAGATGAGAGTGAGGTTCAGGTGTCATCTCCTCACCCCATCCCCTCCTTCTTATTTGTATAGATGTCTACTTATGCACCCTAATTATGTCAGATAGTTTCTGTCAACCTTCCTTTCCTTGTTCCCACCTTCCAGTGTGTTCTTTCTTTACATTCAAAGATCGTCAAGATATAACAGAACCATTTCCAGGCCTTGTCTGATTGTACCCTCAATGAACATTGATGATGATGGAGATTAGAGGGGACACGTGTATCATCTTCCCATATTTGAATGTACGAAGTTTTTTTGTTTTGTTTGTTTTTGGTGAGGCAGTTGGGGTTAAGTAACTTGCTCAGGGTCACACATCTAGAAAGTGTCAAATGTGTGAGGCTGGATTTGGGGGCAGCTAAGTGGCACAGTGGATAGAGCACCAGCCCTGAAGTCAGGAGGACCTGAGTTCAAATCTGGCCTCAGATCAAAAACTTGACACTTACTAGCTGTGTGACCTTGAGCAAGTCACTTAACCCCAACTGCCTAAAAAAACAAACAAAAAACCAAAACCAGATTTGAACTCCGATCTTCCTGACTCCAAGGCTGGAGGTTTATCCACTGCACTATCTAGTTGCCCCTGAATGTACAAAGTTTATCTTTGTTTAGTTCTTTTTCATTATTCATTTATGTTTACCTCTTTATGTTTCTCTTCACTCCTATGTTTGACCTTCAGAGATTTTCTGCAGCTCTGTTTTTTTCAACATGAATGCTTGGAAATCTTCTATTTCAATAAAAGTCTCTCCCTCCCCCCCGCATCATACTCAGTTTTGTTGGGCAAGTTATTCTTGGTTTTAAGCCTAGATCCTTTGTCTTCAGGAATATTATAATCCAAGTTCTCCAGCTGCAAAATCATTTGTGATCTTGACTGTAGCTCCTTGTTACTTGAATTCTTTCTTTGTGGTTGCTAACAGTACTTTTTCGTTGACCTGGAAATTTTAGATTTTAGGCTATAATGTTCCTGGGAATTTTCATCTGTGGGGTGTCTCTTAGGAGGTGACTGATTAGTGGATTTTTCTGATTTCCACATTACTCTCTGGTTCTAAGACATTTGGGCAGTTTTCTTGAAATAGAATGTCAGGCTTTTTTCTTTGGTTTTGGTCATGGTGTTCAGATAGTCCAATGATTCTTAAACTTTTTCTCCTTGATTTGTTTTCCAGGTCAGCTGTTTTGCTGTGAGACACTTTATACTTTCTTCTAATTTTTCTATATTTTAATTTTGTTTGAATCTTCTTGTTTCATGGAGTCATTGGTTTCTGTATGGTTCATTTCTAATTTTCAGGGAGATTTTTGTTTGAGTAAGAATTTGTACCTCTTATGCTAAGGTGTGTACTTGTTTCCAATTCATTCTTCTACAGCTCTCATTTCTTTTCCAATTTTTTTCTTCAAGCATTTACATTCCATTTATAAAACAATTTTTAAACTCTTACTTAATATCTTCTAGGAATTACACCTGAGTTTATGTTTAAACTGTGTTTTTCTGTGTGGCAAAGCTTGTAGTATTTTATAGTAATTCTCTTCTTTTGTGTTTATATCTTGAGAGACTTTGCCATCATAATAGTTCATTATGGTGTAGTTCTTCCTCCATCCTCCCCTCCAATTATATTAGGGCTGAACTTTGCCACAGTTCTGGAGGGCTGGTCTTGTTGCTCATTTCTTAAGGTATTTAGTGTTATGTTATTCTAGAATCTTAGGAACAGGCTGGGGACTTGGAAGCTTTCACTGCTCCCAAAGTGGTCTGATCTAGAGCAAAGTCTGATTGCTCTCCCTCCTGGTCTGAGTTCTGCAAATTGCCAACCTAAGTTCGGATCTGTAGAGAATTAGACTACTATTAGACTCTTCCCCTATCAGCCAGCTGGAAAGCCTTTTTGGTTCAAATAGGTAGAACCATAGGCTCTCCTTTGGTCTGGAATTCCTGCTGAATTTATTCCTCTACAGGCTGGGCTCGATGCTGAAAGTGAGACCTTGCTCTGAGCCATATCACTGCTGCTACTGGCTTCTGAACTTTCTCTATACACAGCCCCAGGGCCGGGCAGCTAGGTGGCACAGTGGATACAGCACCAGCCCTGAAGTCAGGAGGACCTGAGTTCAAATCCGGCCTCAGACCAAACACTTGACACTTTACTAGCTGTGTGACCCTGGGCAAGTCACTTAACCCCAACTGCCTTAAAAAAAAGAAAAAGAAAATAAACTTCCAAAAAAGGGGCAAAGGCAATAGATAAACTGTTTGGGGGCAGCTAGGTGGCACAGTGGATAGAGCACTGGCCCTGGATTCAGGAGGACCGGAGTTCAAATTCGGCCTCAGACACATAACACTTACTAGCTTAACCCCATTGCCTAAAACAAACAAACAAACAAACAAACAAACAAAAACACTGCCCCAGGGCCCCTTTATCTGAGAATGTCAAATCCCCTGGGCAGGTCCCTTTCTTAGTCCATCCTAAATCTCTGACCTGGAACTGTGGGCAACAAAGTCACCAGTATACACTGTCCCTGTCACAGTGTCCTGGTATGGGTCTGGGTCTGAGATCTCTTGCCCTTACAAGCCTCTCTTAATAGTGGAGTGCTCTCCACTAACATGCTCCTAGTCTGACCTCACCCTGAATGTTCACAGACCTCCCTATCTGACCTAGCCAGACAGAGGACTCACTGTATCATTTTCTGGATTTCCCCATTGGTGGTATGCTTTTTCTAGATCTGTGTATTGGATTTTGTGTAGGGAAGCTGACTGCATTGCTTCCCATCACTCTGCCATCTTGGCTATGCCTCTATGCTCATCTTTCTTAGAATACATTCAAAGGATTGAAACATATCTTTTGAACATGGCCAATGCAATAATATGTCTCACTTGACTATGCATATTTTTTACAAGAAGTTTTGTTTTGTTTTTTTAATGACAGAAGGGAGGTAAGAGGAAGAGAAATAATTTTTAATTGAAAACAAAATTAAATTTTTCTTTCTTTCTTTTTCTTTTTTTTAGGCAATTAGGGTTAAGTGACTTGCCCATGGTCACACAGCTAGTAAGTGTCAAGTGACTGGTCTGAGGGCAGATTTGAACTCAGGTCCCCCTGACTTCAGGGCCGGTGCTCTATCCACTGTGCCACCTAGCTGCCCAACAAGATTATATTTAAAGAAAAAAAAATGCACATGCACACCTATTGGAAAGACTTGCCTACCATAGAGCTCTTTTTATAGTTTCTTCTTCAAATTCTAATTACCTCCCTCTTTCAAACTTGAAATAGAGGGTTTGGGGCACTTAACCTGTCTTCCATTTAGAAGTTCACGTCATCTCTTCTGGATCACAAATTTTCCAAGGGAGCACATCCTCAAAAAATAAAAGTCCTTATCTCTACATCATTCCCTTACTCTAGTGATCTTGATGACAAAGAGAAAGATAAAAAAAAGCTGACTGACTTCTGGCTTACTGGATTCTCAAGGCTGGTGAATATTCATCTAAGCCTTTTCATGTCATCAGTAACCCAAGTGTTGGGGGCCAGCCCTAGGCAATATCTGGCCCCCAAAACTTTAAGTTCCATGGCACCAATTTTGGGAATGGAACAAATCAGACAATAATTCTGTGCATTTATACTTTATTTCCACAATGATATCTCTGGATATCTTTCTATACGTCTACCTAAGTCAGCTTGAGTACAGAGATCACTGACCTTGAAACTTTTCCCTGAATGTGCCTATTTATTACAGGATCAAATCTATCTTCATAGTTAAGAGGCTGAAACATTATTAGAAACCAGTTGATTTGAGAAATAGATATGTCTGATACTCTCGAGGGTTTAATTGCTGCTCCTCTTCCTCCTCAACAAATAAACTGAGTCAAATAGAGCATTTGGGGGGAAAAGTATGGTATATGCCTATCCTTCAAAGGCAGTATTAAATAGTACTAGCCTTAGTCAGAAGACCTGGGTTCAAATTCTGTCTCTGACACTCATTAGCTATGTAATTTCTGACAATATACATATTTTTTTCTATTGGTAAGATGGAGATAGAAACTAACTATTTCACAAGATTGTTGTGAGGAAAGTGGTTTGTGAATTGTTAAGTCCATAGAAATGTGAGTTACTATTATCTACATAATTTGCCTCTCAGTCCCTTTATCTCACATACAACCCATAAGACATATTGGAGCTAAGATCCTGCACATTCAAAATTAAGGTCACTAGTGAGGCTGAAGAAACTCAGCTAGTGCATCACACTTCCTTAGAAACATACAACACCTTCTAAGGAATCACTGGGTCACACTGGAAATATGTTCTTAAGTTAGTAACAAGTCATTGTCAAGGTGACAGCTACTTTGTTTCTTCTCCTTAGCACTGTTTCTGATTCCCAAACCTGAACTGATATCCTGTTTGGAGCAAGAAGAAGAGCCATGTGTCACAAATTCCAAGGAATCCAAAGAGATCCCAAAAGATTCTAATACAGGTGAGCAATGAAGGAGAATGGATCAAACTAACCCGAAATAAATATTCTGGTATTCAGTGCTTTCAGGATGTTAGCAATTTTAAAAATTCTGTTCTTTTATTTATTTTTATCAACCATCATTGATTTTTCTTTCCTTTCTGTGATTTCCTTTTCTCCCAAAATAGAAATGACTGATTCTTCTATTTATCCTAATGAGGTTAAGGCTACAAGTGAGAATGAAAAGCTTAAGGCAGTACATCATATTCCCTTAGAAGTACAAGCAGCAGATAATACTTTATCTATATCTAAAAAGACTGATGAGAAAGTTCTCCAGAGGGCAGAATTGAAAGAAGTTCATGAAAAACAGTGTGGGGAAGGAAAGCCACAGCAAAATTTACCCGCAGGAAAATGGAAGAAATTTGCTTCCTGGAAAAAAAGTCTACGAAAACTGATGGAGGTCCACAAGAAAGCCTGTGCAGGAGAAAAACCTTTCAAATGTCATATATGTGGGAAAAGCTTCAAAGTTAGCTCAGACCTTATTAAGCACCAGAGAGTCCACACCGAAGAAAGACCCTATAAATGTCAAGAATGTGATAAAAGGTTCCGATGGAGCTCAGATCTTAATAAACACTTGATGACACATCGAGGAATTAAGCCACATAGATGCTCCTGGTGTGGGAAAAGCTTCAGTCAAAACACAAACCTTCTCACTCACCAAAGAACACACACAGGAGAGAAACCCTTTAAGTGTCATGAATGTGGAAAAAGATTCAGTCAGAATTCCCATCTCATTAAGCACCAAAGAACCCATACGGGTGAGCAACCCTATACATGTAGCATGTGTGGGAGGAACTTCAGTAGGCGGTCAAGCCTTCTAAGACACCAGAAACTCCACAGAGAAAAGGAAACAGTCAATGTCCTCGTTCTGAAGGAAAGCTCCAAGTGGAGCTGAACCTTTAAAAGAATATAGATTTATATGAATTTATCAATATTTGAAAAATTTTAAGGTGTAAACCCCATTTTTCTCTAAAGAGAATTTAAAGAGACTATGCAAGAGGGAATGGCAATATTTCTAGTACATAATGACTTGTTTATGACAAGAAAATTCTTTATAGGACAGCTATACTAAGATTGTATCTGACAAAATAACAAGTATACTATACCAAAAACCAACTCTTCAAATAGCAGATGTTGTCTTGAACCAAAGAATAATCTTCATACACATACAGTGTGGAAAGGAATGCTGATCATGTCTTAGTCTTTTTTGCCACTCTCAAAAACACAAGTTAAAATTACTATCAGAAATGGCATTTCCTAAGACAGACAGACAGACACTGACACAGACACACACACACCCCCCTTCATTTGTTGCAGGTACACCAATTTCCTATTCCAAATTCTGTGCAGCAGAGATATCCTAAATTATGGTTTTCCCAAGCATTTCAGTTAAGATTTTCTCTTGGGCCTCTTGCTTATAAACACCATTCACAAGATTGACTACTCTAACTTCTTGCCTTAACCTCTTAACCTTTAGCAGTCAAATCCTGTTGATTCATTTTTTGCTTATTTAGTTTACAGAAAAAAACTGTGAAGTAAGAACTCTCAGCTCTTACGTCTCTTAATTGATAGTTTATGGAAGATGATGGATGGCAAGCTATTCTCTGTCTCTAATGAAACAAAATTGCATTGGAATTTATCTCAGGAGGAGAATTGCAATTAGATGTGAGGAGTACACATTGAGGAGGTTTTGGAAGGAGTTCACAAGGGAAGGTATAGAATTTCCTTACCTGGAAAAGTGAACAAGAGGATAGAACAACCTTGCAAAAGAGCACTTGCCTAAGGCCCCCCCCCCAAAAAAAAATCAGCTCTAAGTCTGTTACCTTTTAGTAATATTCCATGGGAAACTGGAAACTTATTTATTACAGACAGGATCTTGTCATCTCTTAGCTTCCTGATATGGAGAGCACTTGAAATGTTTGGGTACAAAGGGGATAGTTTGGCAACTGGTATTGTTAAAAATGGTGGTAAGATCAGAAAAACAACATGTCATTATCAACTGTCTTACATTTATAAGCTCTCAATGGACAGAACTGTCTGATTTTTTTTTAACATGACACATAAATGTACACATAATAAAAGCTTCTGGATAACAAGTTCAGTAGGTTGGGTAATTTTTATGGTTTTATAAATTTCTGAGGAACTTACCTGCAGATCAGTTAATCAGCAAACATTTTTAAAGTGCCTATTTTGTGCCAGGTACTGTGCTAGGTTCTGAGGATACAAATAAAGAATTCTTGGCAATTCTCAATTCAGAGTACATTCCTGACTGAGCTGGGTTAGTCATAGCCTTGCATAGAAATCACGTAATCAGAAATGAAGAATTTGAAAGGACCTTACAAATCATCTAGCTCAATCCCTTCATTTTAGGTGAGAAAATCCATAGGTTATAACTAGCATATGGCTACACAGCTACTTCCTAATACAAAGAACTAATTCCAATTTACAGGGTTATATCCAGGGCTGTATAAAACAGTTTTTTTCCTGAGTCGTGGTTTCTCCATGGCAGTTTTAGCCTTGCCTGAATTCTTAGGTCCATGCCTCTTCCTCCCTGCCTCTAACACTCAATCTCATTTCAAGATCAGAAAAGGCCAAGCAGGTAAGTAGCAGAAATGTTAGACAGATAAAAAGACTTCCTAGGAGTCTTTTTGTCCCACAATATCTCCTCAAAGCCATGTTAAGATTTGTGTCTCCTTAATCCTATATTACTACCTTGACTCACCCTTCCTCATCTCCCCAGGCGAATCAGAACATTTCTGTTTATTAGCTTTGTTGTTTTCAAGTCTCAGCTTCTGTCCAGATAAACAAGTAGGCATGAAGATGAAAAATGAATTTCTTTAAAGTGATTTAGGTTCCTCTGAAACAAGCCAGGGGACAAAGACAAAGGTCTAAGCCAAGTGCTCCAAATGAAGCCACTTACTGGTATGGGGCTAGTGCTTCTACTCATCTGGTGTTTATATACTACTCACCAACATTAAAGCAGTTGCTCTAGTTGCAATGTAATCTTTTTTATTAACTGTCACTGGTGTTCTCATTGATTATGACATAGTGAGGTGATACTTAAAGGAAAAGTAAAGTCTGCTAGGAAAAAAATTCTGGCTCAGAAAAGATTGATCCTAAGTATGGTAGTATCCACTAGAGCTTCAAGGAGCCTCCAAATAAAAAGCAAATGATGAGGCCCTAAAAAGGTGGAGGAACTTTGCTAGTGTCTGGAAGGCAGTTCTAATTCGATTCAGTGAATATTAAGCACTTGCCTAGGACAAACACTGGTTACAACACTACCAACAATATATGTTCTATTGGAGGCCAGAGGGTGTAACACAACATTCACCAATTCAATAAACAATAAATGCCAACTATGGTACCTTATGTTTTACTAGATAGGCACAGGATGTACATATGAGTAAATGCAACGTACTAGAGCAATAACAGCTATTAAGAGAACCCAGAAAGGTTTTTTGTAGGAGTTCATGTCATGAACTGAACCATGAAGGAACCTAAGCAAAGGTGAGAAAGGAGCACCTTCTAGCATAAGGGGGAACCTGGGCAAAGACACAGAGTGGAGGTTGAATGCTAAGTTTGGAAAACTGCTACCAGGTCAGTTTAGCTGCAACATGGCATGCCTGAGTGGAACAATATGCAGTAAGTGCGGAAAGGGGGGCTGGAACCCATATGTGAAAGGCTTTAAAAGTTCGGTTAAGGAACCTGTATTTTATCCTAGAAGGAATAAGGAACTTAAAATTTTTGAACAGAGGAATGGCATTATCTGAACTGTGTTTTAGGAAATCATTTGGTCAGCTGTACTGGAATAAGGATTGGGGAGAGAGGCTAAAGCAGAAAAACCAATCAGAAAGCTAATGTTAGTGGACCACACAAGTGATGATGAAGATCTGAACTGGGGCAGCTGGCAACTGATTAGATATGGGGGAGGGAGAGAAGAAAGATTCTCAAGCTGTATATCTACAGGACCAGAAGCATGGTAGTATGCTCTACAGAAATAAGGGGGTTTGGAGCAGGGCCAGGTTTGGGTAAAAGCAGAAGAAAATCAGTTACATTTTGAACATGATGAATTTGAGATAATGGGACATTAACCCAGCAGACAAGCTGGATTTGAATTGAAGAGCGATCTTAGATGTGGTTATACACTTGAGCTGAAAGTCATCTACACAGAAATGCTAACTGAACTAATGGAGATCATCAAGGTAAAATGAGAAAAGAGAAGAAGGCCCAGTACATAGCTATGGGCAGGACATATATGATGATCCAGCAAGGGGAAAAATTAATGTCATGGAAACTAAGGAAGAAAGAGTACCCAAAAGAAAGGGGTTGTCAACAATATCAAAAAGTGCAACGAGGGCACATAGGATAAGCACAGGAAAAAAGCTATCAAATTTAGCAATTAGATTGCTGGTAACTTTGGAAAGTTCAGTTTCAGACTATTAGTGGTATAGAAAGTCAGGATTACCAGGCTTTAAGAAATGAATGGGAGATGAAGCAGAGACAAAGAGTTTAGATCAGAGGTTCCCAAGCTTATTTGGCCTACTGCTCCCTTTAAAAAAAAAAAATTACTCAGCATCCCCCTCGAATTTAATTTGATGGTTATTTAATAACCCTTTGACATTTTTAAAATTTGCATCATTTCAAGAAATTATAATTTTTTAAAATGACACCTTAAATTTAATAATTCATTATGAATTTTCCTGCATTGAAATTTTGATCATGCAATACTGCCAATTTATTATGAATTTTCCTGCATTGAAATTTTGATCATGCAATACTGCCAGCAAATAACCATATAGTAGTATCATATCTTAAATAAGTTGTTACAAGCACATATTCCTGCCAATGCATACTGGACTTCCGCCAATGCATAGTATGATGGCCTGCCAACACTTGCTTGTTAAGACCTGTTGGCAGACTTGACCACTGACTGGTTAAAACTTGCACTCTGTGTGTTTATTTGGAAAATAATGTAATCACTATGACTTTAACTCTGTTACACAACAGATGAAATATGTAGGAACAGTTCTTCAAAATTTTCTTATCTTCTTTCCTTATGCTTCCACAGCCCTCTTATTTTTATTCAACACCCTCCAATTGCGCCTGAGGCTACTACACCCACCCCAACTGTTCCAGCACCCCCCAGGGGGCAGTATTGCCCACTTTAAGAACCCATGGTTTCAGGGGTGGGGAACCTGCAGCTTCGAGGCCACAAAAGGCCCTCTAGGTCCTTGGGAGCAGTCTTTTGACTGAGTCCAAGTTTTACAGAACAAATCCCTTTGTAGGATTTGTTCTGTGAAGTTTGGATTCAGTCAAAGGGCGGCACTTGAAGACTAGAGGGCCAGATGTTGCCTTGAGGCCAATGGTTCCCCACCCCTGGTTTAGATAATTCTAGGAATTTGCCTGTGAAAAAAACAGCAACAGAATCTTAGCATGAAGGCATGCCATTTAACCTCCCTTAGGCTAAGCTTTTTCATCTATGAAAACAATGACAAAACCTATTGCACTTACCTCACAAAGATATAGTGAGGCTCAAATGAAATATATGTTAAGTGCTTTGCAAGTTTTAAATTGGTATATAAATGGGCTTTAGAATTTGATAACTTCCTTAACATGAAAACACAAAACAATTCTCCATCTAGAAAAGTTCATCAAGACCAAGTCTTTAGAAAAGATAAGCAGTACTGGGCCTTCTACCACATCATTTTTCATTTAAACCAAATTAATGATTTAGTGGCATGCTTGGTTACTAACCCAAATTTCCAGAAACTAGAATCTGCTGTACTTTTACCTCCCCTAAAAGAGCTATTCAATCACTAGAAGAGGAAGAAGAAGTTTTCCTCCTTAGTTATGTTTTTTTAAATTAAATAACAGGTCACGAAAGTCTTGCTTCTCTGCATTCTTCATAATCATTTCTCACATACAACAGTATTCCAGTATATTCACATACCACAATTTACGGATTTCAGCTGACATGCATCTATTTTATTTCCAGTGCTTTTCTACTCGAAAAAGTGCTGCTATAAATATTTTGTTATGTATTGAACCTTTACTTCTGTCTCTGACCTTGATCCCATCAATGGCTTCAAAGAATATGGTCAAAGAATATGACCATTTCATCATCCTCTGAGCACAATTCCAAATTACTGTGAAGAATGGCTGGACTAATTCACAGGTTCATCAACAGGGTTAGTACAGAGATACTTTTCCACAACCCCTCCAATATGACTGTCTCCATCTTTGTCGTATTGCTGGGGATGAAATGAAGCCTCAGAGTTATTCTGATTTACAATTCTCTTATTAATGATTTGGAGCAATCTTTCATGTAGCTGGTTGTTATCAGTTTGCAATTCTTTTGAGAACTGTTTGTATCCTTTGACAAATTATCCATTAGAGATCAAATTTTTTTCATCACTAACTTTATACAACTTCTAGGATCATTTCTAATTTTACCACGGACTTTAATAATTCTGTTCCAGGCACCTCTGTCCCATTCAAATGAGACATACTGACTTAGGCATAATTTCCTCTCATTTTAAATAGATCTCCCCTTCTCACCTGTCATCTGTAGAGATTCTGTCTCCTCTTTAGGACTAAGCCACCATTGCTTTTGTAATTTTTGGTGGGGCTCTGTAGGCACCATTAGCTCCAGTGGGAGACTCTGGGCCTCCTGTCCAGTTTTCAGTGATGTCATCTCTTTTGAAAGTAGTTAATGGCCTTGAACACTGTCCTTGATCTGAAAATAAGCCCTCTGAAGGTCCAAATGAAATTGGGACTACTCAGACAAAGATAAAACTGGACACGGGAAAAGGGAGGGCCAACCTCCCTTGTGTTATTGTTGTTTCGGTCATGTCTGACCCCATTTGGGGTTTTCTTGGCAAAGATACTGGAGGGGTTTGCCATTTCCTTTTCCAGCTCATTTTACAGATGAGGAAACTGAGACAAACAAGGTTAAGTGATTTGCCCAGGGTCATGGGATGATGAATCTTCCTGACTCCAGGCTGGGCACTCTATCCACTGCACCACCTACCTGCCCAAACTCCTTAAAATATAACCTTATCTTTCCTGCAACTTATGTCTAGCTGGATAGGCCTCCTTACCTTTGCACATGCTGTTCCCACAAACTGGAATGTTCTCTCACCTCTTCTTTGATTTTCTGAATCCATTCTTCCAGGCCCAGCTCAAGTCCCACTTCCTCCACTTAGGCCCAACTACCCTTCTCTGAATTTTTATAGCTACTGTTTGTACACCTCACAGATTACAGGTTTCATGATCTCATAGGTGAGTGTGGGTCTTTACAGATTATCTAGTCCAACACACCTCATTTTAGGTTAGGAAAATGAGAAACACCTGAAGATATGTGACTTGCCCAAGGGCACACAGCTGGTGAACAGGCACAGTCAGAACTAGAACTCAAGTCTCCTTGCCTCAAGTGTTCCTTCAAATGTCATCTCACGTTGTGTTCCCTGCCTAGAGAGTAGCTTCTTTGAAGATGAGCACTATCTTTTACACTTCTCAGGTGAACTCTCAGCAATGCTTAAAGCAATGTTGAGCTCATACTCTCCGGTTATGTGATTTTTGTCACCTTGCAAGAACACTCTCCACCCATTTATGACTTAGGGGGTAAATCCAAAAGTGTTGCTTTGAGGAACGTGGTGGTTAAGTAACTTCTCCAGGGCCACAGAGCCAGTGTCAGAGGTGGAATTTGAACCAAGGTCTTTCCGACTCCAAACCCCGTACGATATTACCCCATAGTATACACTGATTAAATACACACTGAACTGGCTTAGTCACAAATCAGAATCAGAGGAGTATCTTATCCACACCGACAAATCACTCTCAATCATCCTTTGCTTGTATCTGCAAAATGTATAGCGGTATCAGTGGACATAGGGCTCCCGATGCACGTCTTCCCTACCAAGCCCAGGGTCCGTTCCGTTCTCACCCACGGCCTCGGTCTCCAGGGCTTCCTCGGCAGGTTCTCCTCCCGCTCAGGGGGATGCTACTGCACCCGAGTCCGGATGTCTGTCCCCAGGGAGGACGGTCGGGAACCGCTTTGGCTCCAGCAACAGCAGCTTCACCACCTGCGCCTTCGTTCGCGTCTCCGGCCTCGCCCACCGAGGACGCAGCTCCCGGGGTCAGCAGAGCCTTCCCGCGCCCACCGCGTCCCGAGGCACTCCCACCTCCGGGGGTCCAGGCCAGCGCAACCATCCTCCGGGGGAGGGGTCAAGCCAGGTTCACCACTACCGCCGCCCTGGGAGGAAGCTCTGGCCGCTGGCACGGGGAATGCGTGACTGGCCGCGCACAGAGCAGGCCAGACCCGTCCTCCTGCACCCTCCCGGGCCATTCTCCGAGGCAAAGCGCCTTTCCCCTTCGCGCTTGCAGGGACTAAGGGCGGGGCCTAGGTGGGAGGGGCGGTGTGTAGACTGACTGAACACCGGAGCGGGCAAACGCGAGGACTGCTGGGAAGAGTGAGTGACGAAAAGCAGAGAGGATCGCACAACGCCCACTAATGTCTCGAACCTCCTCCTGGAGGCGGGACCTCTTGGATTCGCCCTCCTCTGTCCAGAGAGGCGGACCCCGCCTCTAGCCCTTGGCTCTCCGCACAGACCAGTCCCTATTTTGGTCCCGCGAGGACTGGGGCTGAGACCTAATCGCACAGTCCGCTGGGAGTTGTAGTTCCCGAAGCCGTTGGGAGGTGTCAGAACACTGGAGACTTCCCCCACCGCGGCTGAGGCGTTCTGAGAGGCCTTCACGTCGGGATCGTCTGTAGGGGTCTGTAGCTCTATATAGAGTCGGATTCTAGCTCTTAGGGGAGTCGGCCCTGGTCTTTTTTTTTTCCCAATCTTATCCTCATTTGAAGTCCAACTGGGCTAGGGGCTAACTGGGGGCAGCCGGCGTGGTTAAGCCGCTGGCCTTCTTGGATGCCTGTGGTTTACTTGTGCAGACTGCGCATTTGATCTCTCCCTCTCTCCTTTTTTAAGTTTCTGACTTGCTCACCCTTTGACCTTGTTTAACGGTCTGCATATCCGTTCTTATCAGTTGTCGTTTTGCTTTCCTGTTTTCCACTACTAGCTATCCTATGCCCTAGACTTTACACCCCTTGCTTACCGAGAACCTCTGTAAATAAAGAAAATTGACCCCTTTTTTTCTGGTTTCAGCTCCCCACTCCATCTGCCAAACAGATGCCCCCTCATCTGCCGGCTCCCCCCTCCATTCCCCCAGTTCTGGCTGGCCCCTCCACTTTTACTCAAACATTATAATTCCAGAGCCCTTCTCCATTACCCCTGGAACGAACTGCACTTCAAATCTTACTCTGACTTCAAGGCCACCCTCCTCAAGTCTTACTTTGTCTAAGAAGCCTCCACGATTGTGACCTCCTCTGAACTCCTACAGCTCTCATGATATTCTGGTGAAAGGTCTAGTGAGCGTCCTGGCCCCATAGTCCTATTTTAGGGTATAGGTGGGTAAATGACATAGGGTCATAGATTTAGAGCTGGGACCTTAGAGGTCAAGTTCAATCCCACTTAACAGGTGAGGAAAATAAGGATGAAAGTGATTCAGTGATTTACCCAGGATCACACAAAGAAGTGTCTGAGGCAGGATTAGAACTCAGGTCTTCCAAAATCCCAAATACAATGCCTTATCCACATTTCCACCTAGCTGCCTCAGAAAGGGAGGGTCCTTCATTCCTGCAGAGACATTATTCAAGGCCAAGCAGGCCAATGGAGCAGCCACCTTGGAATCATTATCTAGATTAGGGATGGCCTCACACCAGGCCCTCTCTCCAGGCATTGTTTTCTAGATGTAATTTTGTATTAGATTTATATATAAAACTTGTGCCCAGCTTTTTACATGTCTAAGAGTGTAAGGCTTGTCTCCTTTGCTGGAGTATAACCTGTGAAACTAATTCTTAGACATCTTGGTTTCAAGAGTATACCTAGCATCACCACAAGCCTTCAATAACTGACAGTTATCCAGTCTTTAAGACTGGCAATGTGCTTTACATATAGATATTGCCTCCTGGAGGCACCCTCCCTTAGGGCATGCTCAATCAAGCTTATGAACCTCTTCCTCTCAATTTTTTGTTATTTAGAACACAAATGTCACTTTAGCATAAAGACATTACTATTGTTACAGTATCCTTGTGTATCTGCATCTTCTTGTTGCTCAGCAGTTTTAGTCGAGTCTGACTCTTTGAGATCCCATTTGGGGTTTTCTTGGCAGAGATATTAAAGTGGTATGTCATTTTCTTCTCCACCTCATTTTACAGATGAGAAGACTAAGGCAAATAGGGTTAAGTGACTTTCCCAGAGTCACACAGCTAGTTAAGAGTATGGGATCAGATTTGAACTCAGGAAGATGAGACTTCCTGTCTCCAGGCCCAACACTCTATCCACTGAGACACCTAACTGTCCTACCCTCAGAAGCATGGACAAATATTTGTAGATGGCTTCCTAGATGTCATGATGACTCAGGGATTCGTACTATGTGAGCTTTTGTAAAAATAGATTTTTTTAAAATTTAGCATTTTATTTTTCCCCAATTACATGTAAAAACAATTTTTAACATTCATTTTTAAAACTTTGAGTTCCAAATTTTCTTCCTTCCTTCCTCCCCATCCCTCTCATTGAGAAGGCAAGCAGTTAGATATAGGTTATACATGTGTAGTCATGCAAAACATATTTCCATATTAATCATGTTGTGAAAGAAAACATAGACCCAAAAAAAAAACATAAAGAAAAATTTAAAAAAGTATACTTCAATCTGTATTCAGACAACATCATTTCTTTCTCTGGAAATGGATAGCATTTTTCATCACAGTCCTTTAGAGTTGTCTTGGATCATTGTATTGCTGAGAAAAGCTAAGACATTCACAGCTGATCAACCTACCATATTACTGTTACTTTGTATACAGTACATTGCATCAACTCATGAAAGTCTTTCCAGGTTTTTCTGAGAGCATCTGGCTCATTATTTCTTATATCACAATAGTATTCCATCACAATTACACAGCACAATTTGTTCAGCTCTGGGCATCCTCCCAATTTTCAACTTCCCGCCACCAGAAAAGAGCTGCTATAAATATTTCTTGTACTGTATAATTTTTTAAAATTAATTTAGTTTTCAACATTCATTTTTATAGTATTTTGTGTTCTAAATTTTCCTTCCTCCCTCCATTACCCCCTCCCCAAGATGGCATGCAATCTGATATAGGCTATACATGTATGATCATATCAAACATATTTCATATTAGTCATGTTGTGAAAGAAGAATCAGAAAAAAAGGGGGAAACCATGACAAAGAAAAAACAAAAAACAACAAAAGAAAGAGAAAATAGTATGCTACGATCTCCATTCAGACTCTACAGTTTTTTCTCTGGATATGGATAGCATTTTCCATTATGAGTCTTTTGGAATGGTCTTAGATGTTGAGAAGAGCTAAGTCTAACAAAGTCAGTCATTGCACGATGTTGCTGTTACTGTGTACAGTGTTCTGGTTCTGCTCACTTCACTCAGCATCAGTTCATGCAAGTCTCCAGGTTTTTCTGAAGTCTACATGCTTACCATTTCTTATGGAACAATAGTATTCTATTACATTCATATACCACAACTTGTGCAGCCATTCACCAATTGATGGGTATCCCCTCAGTTTCCAATTCTTGGCCACCACAAAAAGAGCTACTATAAATATTTTTGTATGGATGGATCCTTTCCCCTTTTTTATGATCTCTTTGGGATACAGACCTAGTAGTGGTATATTGCTGGATCAAAGGGTATGCACAGTTTTATAGCTCTTTGGGCGTAGTTTCAAATTGCTCTCCAGAATGGTTGGATCAGTTCACAATTCTACCAACAACGCATTAGCGTTTCAATTTTCCTACATCTTCTCTAACATTTATCATTTTCTTGTTTTGTCATGTTAGCCAATCTGATAGGTGTGAGGTGGTACCTGGGTTTCTTTAATTTGCATTTCTCCAATCAATAATGATTTACAGCATTTTTTCTTGTGACTATAGATAGCTTTAATTTTTTCATCTGAAAACTGCTTATTCATATCCTTTGATAATTTATCTGTTGGGGAATGACTTGTATTCTTATAGATCTGACTCAGTTCTCTATATACTTGAGAAATGAGGCATTTATCAGAGACATTGGCTGTAAAAATTTTCCCAGCTTTTTGCTTCCCTTCTAATCTTGGTTGCATTGATTTTGTTTGTGCAAAACCTTTTTAATTTAATGCAATCAAAATTATCCATTTTGCATTTCATAATGCTCTCTATTTCTTGTTTGGTCATAAATTCTTCTCTTCTCCACAGATCTGACAGGTAAACTATTCCTTGCTCTCCTAATGTGCTTATGGTTTCACCCTTCATGTCTAAATCGTGTACCCATTTTGACCTTATCTTGGTAAACGGCATAAAATGTTGGCCTATGCCTAGTTTCTGCATACTGTTTTCCAATTTTCCCAGCAGTTCTTGTCAAATAGTGAGTTCTTATTCAAGAGGCTGGAGTTTTGGGGTTTATCAAACAGATTACTATAGTCATTGACTACTGTGTCTTGTGTACCTAACCTATTCCACTGATCTACCACTCTATTTCTTAGCCAGTGTACTATATAATCTTGATGAAAAGTCTTTTGATTTCTGGGCCAGAACTTTGAATATGCTAAAGGGGAGCATCAACCCTATAGTACTCCCCTTCCTTTCTGGTTGCAAGGCGTTGGAGCTGTTTGGAACTCATCCAGAAGAGTTGGGTTTGGGGGAATGATGAAGCCTTATCTCTATCCTGCTTTATACAGCTGTGAGTACATGTCCTATCTAGGCAAACCTACATCTGACTTAGGGCAGCTTTTTTCTTGTGTTTACTTCCACAACTAGGTGACTGAGCAGCAACCTAGGGATGGAAGTGTTCAGGTGACCTTACAAATTTCCAAAAAAGTCATGAGATACTGAGAGGCCATCAAGGCAAATGCTACAGTGTTCATCAAATCTGTTGATTACAGTTGCTACAATCAGCAAAAGTGAGCTAGCACCAAGGGAAAGAGCTACATCAGAGAAAGGGGATCATGGGAAAAGACTTTTGGCTGTTGATCAAATTATGCTCAGTAGAGGTAAAATGTAAAATAGCTAATTAGCAGAATTGCCAAACAATATTATGTCTTGATGAAACCATCAGCCTCCTACCAGAATGTACCCTGCTTAGAAGTTTCTGAATCCTGTTTAAATCGTTGCTAGTGCATTCTTTGATTTTCTTGTACTTACCGTTTTCTGGGTGGGAATAAAATTTCCTAACTTGTATCTTTTACTACCCCTCCCCCTCATTTTGGGGAAACCCAAGAGCCCAAAACAGAATTGTCCCTAGAGTACTCTGGCTGAGGGTGATGAGCCAATGAATGTTTGAACTGAGAATCTGACTTCCCCTATTGAGAAGCCAGGTTTTCCCCTGAGCTGAATCCTGGGTAAACTGAGGTCACATGTAATAGACAAGGATTGCTGCCAACCCATGTAACCTAAGCTAAGTAGTGCCTAGCTAGATATTCTGCCAGTATACACATCTCATTTAAACACTACAGGTAGCATGGGATAGTGGATACAGAGCTGTACTTGGAATCAGGAGAGCTGGGTTGATTCCCAACTCATATTTTTCCTTCTTTACAAAATGGAGATGATATCAATAAAATTTATCTCATTGATTTGTTGTGAGGGTCAAAGAAGGCATGTAAATATAAGCCTCTTCACAAAACTTAAAAGTACTATAGAAATACTAGCTAGTATCCCTATTTTACAGATGAGGTGGTGGTTGTTTGTCCTTTGTTCTTGAAGAGGACTATGACATCAGGAAGGTAATACCATGACTTGCAAGTGAATTGGATTTTTAAGTGAGGCAGGGCTGTACGAAGTCACCAGCCTCACTTTCTCCTCTGGAGCCATCTGGGTCCAGTGGCAAGATACAGATCAGGACGACAGATGAAGAAGCTGAAGCTAGAAGAGTTTACCCATGGTCACATGGTATCAGAGGTGGAATATTTGCTGATTTAATTGAATAAGCATTCATAGTGCTATCCTATTATTTTTTTCATTTGAGGTCTGTGGGTGCCTGGAATTCTGTTGAAGTCTCACTGATAAGTTATTTGAACAACAACAAAACTCATTAACAGTGAATCAGTAAGCAAAAAATTGATGCCAGGATGAAGTGGTCAACTGATTTTATTTCAAGACACATTTTGGGGAGGAGGCTTATTTATCCCACAGGACTATTGACCCACACATAATCTACTCCTGAACTCTTAGACATGGCTGTTAACTGACAGGTATGTTTACACATGATAGAATTACACTCAGACATGGTTGCATACATTTTTTTATAGGTAGAATAGAATGCTCCCCAATGGTCTTGATGTCACATTTTTACAAATGTCTAAATGCACCGTAAACTTCCCTATCAGCTGTCCAACTATCCCCCAAGGAAGATCTGTTCAGGTGTAACATGCTAGGATATGATTTTTCAGAAAAAGATTGTGAGATAAATGATCTTGCCATCATGTCTGCTCTTGAGTAGATTTCTTGTCTAGGTTTTGCATTCATTATAGTTATAGTTTTGCTACTTTTCTGGCCTGGCCCCTTATAAGAAATGATTCCCAGGATACCTAAGAGACAACAAGGAGATTTGAAAGTATTCCTTGGGTTAAGGAAATGATTCTCCCCCTCCCAACTCATCCTCCCAGGTGCCTCATTTTCTCATATTTTTATCACCATCACCACCACCACCACCACTCCAATGATTCCAGAGCAATTTATGCCCTTAATCTTGAAAAAAAGGTCACAAAGAGGCAAATGGGAACCAGGAGGGAAAAGGGATATCTAAGGTCACATGAAAAGAAAATGAGTTTGCCTAGAAGAGAGCCAAGGTATACTCCCTATGCCCTTTTCTCATATTGCTGAGGCTTAAGAACAGGCGCGGTTTCTTGCCAGACAAGATAAACTTCTTAATTTCCCCTATAAAGCTCTGGTAGTGTATCTGTTTGGCCCAGAAGGATCAAAGAACAGGAGAGATAGAGAATTTTAGTTTTCATAGTTCAGGAGGTTGAGGGAGGTGGTCTTTCCCCTAAAGCCCAGGGCTTACTTACAGGAAGTCAGGAGCAGGACAAAAGCTATCCATAGCATATAAAAAGGCCACAGGACTACGTAGTAAGTGTTATGTGCTGCATTTACTTTTTCCAAAATGAACACAATCAGCATTATGGCAATGAAGAGACTAGTGCCTATGGCCAGAAGTAGAAACAGTAGCTCTAAGAAAAACCCAGCTCAGTAACAGGAATGGAACAGAATTGCCAGAAGGTCATAGAATCATATATTAGGACACTAAGGGACCTTAAAGGTCATCTAAGGCAACCCCTTATTTTACAAGTGAAGAAACCAAGCCCCAGAATGGGCAGGTGACCTGCTCAAGGTATTGTTCTCTCCACCCCTCCAGGGCTAGGTTGGTCCCATTCTGTAGCTTTAACTCCCCAGCTCATGGGCATGTGGTGGCTGCATGGCCGGGGTTCTAACCTGTCAGAAAGGAAAGAATAACGAAGATAAGATGGCAGTGCATCTTCAATGAAGGAGAAGTACAGAAAAAACCCAAACAACCATGTCATAAGCAGGAAGTTACAAAGGACAGCTGTGATCATGAAACCTTGAGCAGTCTGGAGTGCAGCTGTAGAGAAAAAGAGAGAGGCTTGCTAAGAGAAGTACAAGCCCATTTCTGTGAAAGCCACAGCTGTGGTCAAGGAAAAGGATACTTAACAAAGCTATAAAATGGGCCATGGCTGGAGAAGCAGCTGGAATGCCAGGGCGAGCAAGGGCCAGAAGGAATGGGTTGGAAAGTTGGGGAGGAGGTTGTTAGATATGTCTGGTAAAGGTCTTGGGGACATAGGGGACAGAGCCATCATAAGCTTGGTTAGTGGGGTTGTTGGTTCAAAATAAGCGAGGGGTCCTCACGCCAATAAGTAATATCTGCCCAGCAGTTTTTGCTTAAGCAGTCGTGCCAAATGCCAATATACTGCTCCCATGTATGGTCGGTTCATTTCAACACTGCCCATCTGTTTGTAGCAGAAGTACATATGACCAACACCAGGAAGGCAAAAGTGCTGAATGTAGTACAGATGGGCATGATTAACCACAGAGGGACATTGCGCCAGCTCCGCCGGGGGTATAAGGACCAGTTTCTCAACACCACAGGAGGAGTCCTTGGGGAGATGAGGGATTATAAAGAAACCCTTTCAATCTAGCTTAAATCCCATTGCTAGCCCCAAACTAAGGTCAAGGCATTTCCCATCCCTTTTAATTTATCCATAAGCCTAAAACCAAGAACTGCCTAATCTAGGTCATCCTGTCAGCCTTAACCCAGAATATCTCAACTACTTCCCTCTGTCTCAAGTCCCCTGAGGTCCCTAATCTAGAACTATACAAGTTTGATCCCTCCCCAAAAAGACACACTTAGGGTCTACCCCTACTTTGTCGCTGAGCCCCCTATTAGAACAACTCCCCCCAGGAACATGGAGTCTGAAATAACAGAACATGTCCCCTGTACTCAGATGTATAATCCACCCAACTCTTGAATCCCTTGTTTTATAAATCGCAGTTCCTCAGTCCCTCCAAGTTTCTGGATGCCCCTTTACTAGTACATCACTTTGTCTGGACCCTGATCAATTTATTTCTTTACCTATGGTACTGTTTCAACATTGGTCTTTCGGTCATAAGGTTTGTGGACTTTGGGGGCTCCTCAGACATTATCTTAGATGCTCAGGAAACTTTCTAACTGCTTTGGAATCTTCTTTGCTATCCCTTCACCCCCTCTCCCCCTATACAGGCTTCTACCTTGGAACTTCTGACCTCACAGTCTCATAGCCAGGGACCTGCCCAACCAGGATCAAGTTGTGCCTTCTGGAGAGAGAGAGAGCAGGTCATGATAGAAGGAAAATGATAGAACTGGGGACAGCGTTGAGGGGACTAAACAGAGCGCCTGTTGGGAGAGGGAAAACAATGTAGAGAAATCATTTTCTGAGGACAACTGATTCCACCTGAGTGACTATGAGACTGCACTATTTAAACAAAAAAGGGTTAGTATTGGGGACATGTAGACAAAGGAGAAGGGTTAGTAGGGTTATACCATAAATACCTGCCTAACTACCTGCAATGAATTCTCCCTATTGGGATCCAGTCCAGACACTCCTCTGTTGCTCATACAAGAGTGCTTGGTGTTGAGAGCAAATGTTGCTCAATGTCAGTGCTCTATGGAGATCCACCAAAGCCAACATTAAGAGTTAGAGGCAGAGCTGTGACTAAAACCGAGATCCTTTGATTCAAAGGCCACTGCTTTTTCCTTCTCCTTACGTAGTCCCCATGCACCATCCACCCTCTTTGAGGCACTGGTCCCCATTCCTGATTATATTTTCAGGAAGCATTTCCAGAACTGGACTTCTAGACTAGCTGCCATAAACCCATTCACCTTGAGTTATGCTAAAGCCGATGAGGTAGTCAAGCCAAACATAACTCTAACCCAGCATGACCCCAGAAGACTTGATAAGAGAAAGGCTGTTCCTATGGAAGTCTTTGAGTAAATCATGGCCTGTTGACAATACAACATAAGGGATTCTTGGTCATATATAAGTATAGTTAGATGGCCTCTGATGTCCCTTCTAATTCTTAAATTCTGTACTTAAAGTCTTCTGTATCTTGCTCTGCTTTTTTTTTTTTTAAGATTATGAATTTCAGATTTTCCAAATAGGTAAGTGCTCTAAAGATAGGAACAAATAATTTTCAACAGAACTACAATCAATAACTTTGAAAGACTACTTTAAATCACTAATAATAAGATAAATGGAAATTAAAATAAATGCAGTTTTACCATACACCCAGAAAACTGACCATGATGGCCAAAGATGGCAATAGTCAATGCTGTAAAGGCTATAGAAAGACCAGTTGCACTAATTTACTGTTGATGGAGCTGTAAATTGGTATAACTCTGCAAAACAATTAGGAATTATGGGATTGTGCAAAAGTCACTACCTGTTCAAACCATTTGACCCAGAAATCCTAATGCTGGGTGTATAATACCTAGAGGTGCTCAAAGACCAAAATAAGGGCCTACATATACAAAATATGCACAGCCCCTTCTTTTGTGGTAGCAAAAAATTAGAAACAAAGTGAATACTCATCGGTTAGAAAATAGATTAAGAAACTGCAGTATATGTATATTATAGAGTGTTATTGCACCATAAGAATCAATCATATAAGAAATTCAGAGTACCATAGGAAGACACACAAATTAATACTGAGGAAAGTACACAGAAAA